AAAAAGTGTGACTGAAGCGATGAACTGACCTACGTGGCTTATCACAAAGATTCAATGACCCTGTCACCATTACACGGTAAACAATTTAGCTGAAACCTTAAGATACAAGTAGTTAGTAAGTTAAGCTTGTAGTATAAACAGCTGTTAACTGCTTGATTAATGCAATGAATACATCGACATAACTAACATCACTTTGTTGTTTAGAAGAGTGGAATTCTTCGACGGAAATCGATTGTGGAACAGCGATTTTTTCCTAAAGGGATAATTGAAGATAATTATCAAGACTAAGCATATACTCAGGTAAGGAATTAATACTAACCAGAATAACATTTGAGAATTATATTAAGAGAAATAACTTATAAAACCAATAAAGATGTTTCGCATAACGCATATAAAACTACCACCAATAAATTGATATTTAGAAAAAAAAGCCATTTATAATATGCTATTGAGAGGCAAAAAAGAAACTCAAAGAGAGAATTTCGATGATGACTCAGCTGGAAAACTGATACCATACTTGAAACATTTTTTCCAAATGCTGATTTTATTTAGCAAACTAAAATAGCAAAGTAGCAAAAGCAAAGTACTAAAATAGTTTAGTGATATCTATGAGTGTCAAAAGTTACTCCAGCAAGAACCAAGCTATATACAACCTGTAAAAATCCCATCAGGAATATTTCGGCCAAGAAACAAGAAAAAAAGGGAAAAAAATGAATCTACGAAGCTTTAGTGCTCAATTTAAAGAGGCAACGCAAAATATGCCAAATATTCTACCTTTACTTGCAATTGTTGGCTGTCTTCAATTTTTAACGTATGCAGAAAATTAGCCTCTTGCTTAGTGTTTGGCCGTTCCAACTTGACTAGAGCATTGGTTTCAACCAATTTCTTATTGAGTGAAGCATTTGACGTCGTTACAACAGCTCCTGTTTCGGTAATTTGAACCTATATTCCAAAACTATCCTTAAATTAAATTTCCTAGCCATTGAACATTGCAGCACTAATGAATGAAGAAATATTACTAATACCGTGGTAGGTCGCTCCAATAACGATACATCAAGCTGCTCTTCAGAAACAATATCATGAATTTGTTGAACTGGCTTCGGATCGCCCAGTTTGAGTTCTGTACCTGCATAAAGGAACATTCTTGAATAACATTTAGATTTGATAATTATGAATTAGTTGTAACTTACTAATATAAAATGCATTTTTTAAAGCTCATCAAAACAACTAGTAAATAAATTATTAACCAGCTGCATCATCCTTCATTTCGGGTTTGAAAGGAACAATCACACTCGGATTTGTAGTAATCTCCACTTTATTGCCGACAGAATGAGCAGCTGCTGAGATTGACAATATCGGGACGGCTGGGTCGGAACATTCGGGGGGCAGGAAATCAGGACTCGGCGATAAAGCTGGTACTGAGGATAAGTCATCTAAAATAAAATTGAAAAATACTGAAAATTTATAAGAAATTAATGATCTGCTAGCTGTAACACTTATTACCTTAATCATGTATATATATGTACATACATACATACATACATATACATATATACATATACATATATATATGTATATATATATGTGCATATATATATATATGTGCATATATATATATATATATATATATATATATATATATA